CCTCTAATTACCCCACTGCAGAGCCCCAGCCGTGGGTGTCAGTCCGATCTGCCGAGCTCCACCAGAACAAATGTTCCATTTTTTGTTTCCCCTTCTTCTCCTGCCAATCAGTCCTCCAACATGTCTTCTTCATCTCAAGTGTCTTCACACATACGCTCTGTGGTAGTTGTTGTTGTTTTTTATTCTCTCTCTGGCCTCTGTCTCTGACCACAGTGGAGCAGGAGAAGGATCTGCTGCAGCCTCGGCCATACTGGAAGGAGTTCCGCTTCGATCTCACGCCGCTTCCTCAGGGAGAGACGGTCACTGCTGCTGAGTTTCGCATCTATAAAACTCTTACTGTGGGTTGGCGTGCAAACCGCACCCTCCATATCTCTGTCTATGAAATCCAGAGGGAGAAAAGACACAGGTCACAGTCATACATGATCATTTATACATATTTGTAGTACTGAATCTGATTCAGGAAACTAAGATGTCATTTGATTTTAGTGTTTAGGAAACAAATCATTGACATGAAATTGGTAGTTCTTCGTTCATCAATGTCCCTGAGATCCATTGTCGGTCATTATAATGGAAATGACATTAAGATCTTGTGGTTTGACAGGGAGCCTGAGCTGGTGTTGCTGGACATGCAGTCTGTGCCTGCGGGTCAAGAGGGCTGGCTGGCATTTGATGTGACTTCTGCGAGCAATCGCTGGCTTCTCCACCCTCGGAGCAACTTGGGCATCCGCCTTTATGTGGAAACTGAAGAGGGTGAGCTATTCCTTATGCACAGCATGGAGGTTAAATAACTCTGAAAGCAGTCTAACATCATTGGATGTTGCTTCTCACTTCAGGTTTGACACTATGTGACACCACAAAAATAATGATAATTATTATTATTAAAATAGTTACAAAAATAAAGTAAAAGATGATATATAATCTTTTGGGTTTTTAAATTTTATTTTTAATATTTAATATATAAAATAAAAAATATTATTAATATATTAATAAATAAACGTTTTTTTGGTCTTGACTCTAAAAAACATTTGTCCTTTTGCCTTAGTTGCTCAACCCAACTTGATTTAACATGGATGGAGTTTTTAATGTTTTACAATTTCAGTTCTATTTGTGCTTTTAAATTCAATTGCTCATTGTAGCCTTACTCTAGCTTAAACAGTAGAGCATGGCGCTAACAACCCCAAAAGTGTCTGCCTAATGCATTAAAAAAGTTTTCCCACAACTCATACTACAAATCTTGTGTTTTATCTTTAGACCAAGTCTCACAAAAGTTACTTAAGGAGTTTTTGATTTTTGCAATCAACTGGTACTGAATTCTGCTATAACAAGCAACAAAGATTTGGTATAAATTTATGAAAAACAGGCTGTATCTTGGCAAAGCTTTGACCTATTGAAGCAAAACACGGTCAGTGTCATGGGTCAAATGGTAAAATGCTGAAATCTTGTTTTCACAGACCGGTCGTTGTCAGCAGCATGGGTGGGTCTGGTGGGTCGGCGCGGGCCGCGCTCTAAACAGCCTTTCATGGTGACGTTCTTCAGAGCCAGTCAAGCCCCTTGCCGCCCACCTCGTGCTTTGAGACACAACAATCCACGCAAGAAAAAACCCAAGTATGACCTGCCACACCCAAACAGACCCGGCATATTTGGTGAGCCACAATAAGCGGTTTAAGAGGCAGATTGTGTTTAAAGGAGCATATGAAATTATTTGTTTTTGAGCTATGTTCATCTCACTTGTTCCAGACCAAAATCATGCCAGGAGTGGACGCCAGGCCTGTAAGAAACATGAACTCTATGTCAGCTTCAGCGACCTTGGCTGGAAAGTGAGACATCCTGGCTTTTATACATTTACGCATTCAAACAAGAAGAAGTTAACAATAAGTCACTTACATTTTAGACACAGTATTAAAAGTTGATCTGTATATTTTTGCTCTGCCACCGGAAAAAGTTCTAAAACAGTGAACAGTGTTTTAAACAAATCAATTGAGTGAATGATTCAGTGATTCACTTATCGCCACACATACAGACAGGAAAGTCTCTGTGCTGTTAGAGTGTTTAAATATTTAATTGATCAAATTCAATTTTTTTTCTTTCAGGACTGGGTTTTGGCCCCTACAGGTTATTCTGCATATTATTGTGATGGGGAATGTGATTATCCTCTGGGCTCTTGTATGAATGCCACAAACCACGCCATGATCCAGCTACTGGTGAGTAATCTCTACTTTTGATATTTCTGTATGTGATTTTCTAAACTGCATTGCTAGGAGACATCTTCAAAATGAACTAATTGTTAAACCGACTCCTCTGGCAGGTTCACCTTTTAAGACCAGATGAAGTGCCCAAAGCCTGCTGTGCTCCAACTAAACTCAGTCCCATCTCTGTGCTCTTCTATGATGACAACAACAATGTTATTCTCAAGAAACATAGAAATATGGTGGTCAAGAACTGTGGTTGTCTATAACCTGTTGTACATTCAAGTTTTAAATCCAAAACCAATGTAAATGTATTATAATACTCAGAGGCACCATTTGTAATATACAGTGATTAAAAATGTATTTAGCCAAATTTGAGCATTCTTACCTGTCCCAAATGATTGGCAAATGATTGTTATTGAAGTGTCATGATGGTTTATCAGCATATTTGTCACAATTTTATTGTAACTGGATTTAGGATTGGAATCCATCCCATAATAAAAAAAAATACATATTTTGCCTAGCTGTCTTACATTTAAACTGTCCAAATTCTATATTTGTGGAATGTTATGTTTCACACAGTTGCATTGCTTTGACTTTCAAATAATTTTTTCTTGCATCTACAACTGATAAAATGCTTTTAAAAGAACTTATACCAACCACACCCATGTGAAGAAAAGAGACTTATTCAGTCTGAGTAGGCTGCACACATGGACAAAGTCATTTCAGTAGTTTGGCACTAATTTAGTTCACCCAAATGAAAACAATGCCATCATTTACTCACCCTCATACTTCCAAACCTGTATGAGTTTCTTTTTTCCGTTAAGCACAATAGAAGATATTTTTAAGAATTTCCAGTGTAGCTTATGGGGAACAAAATACTCCATAACTCAGTGGCTACAGTCAAGGGTTTAGTTATCCACATTCTTCAAAATAGCTTCTTCTGTGTTCAGCAGAAGAAAGAAATGTATACAGCTTTGGAACAATGAGTAAATGATAAGAGAATTTTTATTTTGGGTTAACTACCCCTTTAAGAAATACGTTTTTGAAATTATTTCTGAGAAAATCCTCACGTTCATTGGCTGCGGCCTCTGCAGATACGCAAGTAGCATTGTGTAGTTTGGTGATGCAATTACATAAGGTAACAGCTTATTAAAGTGCTTTACCAACAGACACAACGGGGCAATCAGTACATGTACGGCCAAAGAAGCAGACAATGTTTGAAACCAGAAAACAAAGACAAAAAAAAACGTAAACTTCGGTATAGAGTTCACAATGTGTGAAGATTTGCTGACGGAGAACATCTTAAAGGGGTCATATGATGCGATTTCAAGTTTTCCTTTCTCTTTGGAGTGTTACAAGCTGATTGTGCATAGATAAGATCCCTGAAGTTGCAAAGACTAAAGTCTCAAAACCAAAGAGATATTCTTTATCAAAGTTAAGACTCTGCCACGCCCCCCTAAAACGGCTCGTTCTAAAACGCCCCCACATATCTACCTCACTATGTGGAAATATTTGCATAATGCGGCCCAAATGTGCACGCAAAGAAAGAAGGTGTGGTTTCAGTAACCACAGTTAGTGTTGAAGCAGCATGTCAGTGAGACGCTGTGTGTTTCTAGGCGAAAGCAAAAGCACTTTATTTGGCCTTCCGGAATAGATGCATTTAGGAATCTTTAAGATTACTTACATCAGAACAGCAATGCATTTTATAGATGACCGTTTCGTGAACCTAGGAGAGGAAGTAATTCTGACTTTGCTATGACAATCTGGCGCTTCTGAACTTCTGAATCTTTTGTTATTAGTTTAAGTATTTGCTATTGACTGTTCAAATGTGGAGTTTTGCGCATCGTGTGTGTGTGTGTGTGTGAGAGAGCGAGGGGGGGTAGGAGTCAGCTGTCTTAACCGTGGCTTGTGTACTGCAAACACATACCAGCTTCATCACTGTGTCTGTCACGCGGCTCTGTTCCCCTTTCGGGCTCTGTCTTTACACTTATTTTGAAAGATGAAGCTCGTGATTATGGTGAGGGGAGTTACATTTCTTGCGGTGTTCAGCCAATCACAGTGCACTGGGTCAGCTGGCCAATCAGAGCAGACTGCGCTTGTCGGAAGGAGAGAATTTGTAGAAAACGAAGCGTTTGAGAGAGGCGAGGCATAGAGGACCTACAATAATGTACAGTATTTGAAAAATAATGTGTTTTTTGAACATTAAAGCATCTCAAAATACTCTTGTTACACCAAATACACAAAATAATGATCTTTAAAAAAGCATCATATGACCCCTTTAAATAGTGGTGCCCAAGTTGCTTCTTTCTTGTTGGACGGGTAAAGGAATTTTTTTTAAACCACTCTATAAAAAACAGTACCTTACTTAGTCAAACGGAGACTGTGGTATCAGTGCTTAAAGGTGAAGTAGGAGATCTTGGAAAATGCTAACTTTAGCCTGATAGCAGTGAAAGCGAACGTCCCACCCTCCCTGCAAATCGCCGTCCAAAGCCACGCCCCCTGAACGCATTTACGCTCACAGATCAGACGACCAGAGACCATATTACTACAATACATCATGTTATTCACCAGTGAGAAAACTTCATAGTACAGTTAGTAAAAGTACTACAATACCAGGCAGGAAGGAAGATCAGGTTGTTGATGTTTGCCTGCCATTCCTGCTCTGCCTGCACAACGTGCGTGATTGCGCTGATGATGTATTCTTTCTGCGCGAACGGGGTGCGCAGGGGTATGCTAATACACGTTGACCGGGTGCGTCCGAAACCGCATACTGCTTAGTAGGTACTACATTTGAATTTGAACGTACTACTCGACCGTTAAAAAAGTACGTTCTATATAGTATGAATGCGAGTAGTACGAATGGAATTCGGACGTACTACATCCGCCATGTTGATGTTGTCACGTGGCATGCGTCTTCACAACAGCGCCCAAATGTACAGCGCCCTCACTACTGCGCGAACATCAGCAGCGTTGATTGGTCAGCTGCTCGCAGATCACAGATCTTTTAGGATTACTGATAAACTACTGTCATTTGATTTGTATCATTTGTATTTATTTAAATTTTAGATAAATTATGTCTGTATAGGTCTTTTATTAAGTTTTTAGTTTTATTTTAGTTATTTTAATACTACAACAAACTAAATGGAAATGAAATAATATATATATTGAATTTATAAATATGTATATATATATATATATGTGTGTGTGTGTGTGTGTGTGTGTGGTTGTACAAACATGTAGTTTTTTTTGGTGTTTGGCTTAGTGTTGTTAGAATCATTATTATACTCTTATACCTTTTCTTTACTATTTTGAATTGTTTTTAGCTTTATGAAATTTTGTTGTATGCATTTGTCATTTTTATTTAATTTCTAGTAACCATGACACGCATATAGACTATATGCATATACATTTATTGAAAACTTTAGAAAACAAAGTAACAAAAGCGTATCCGTGGGTCCTGACTCATATTATTCTGACAACTTTAACAGGTGCAAATTTACAGCATTTGTAATTATTTTGAGCATGTCAATCAATGAATCTCAATTCCAATCCTGGTCAGTACTATTAATAACACACATGTTGGTGCACCTCTCCATTGTGGTTCACAGTTAAAAGATCAGGGCACATACATTTTTATACATTGCAGCACCTAATCCATTTTATAAAAAAATCTAAATACAGGGACAGATTGTGAAGTGGGGCATTGGTGAATAAATATGTCAAGTTTAAGCACATGGCAATGAGACGGTTAGGTCACAGCACACTCGGAAATGATGGAAGAAATATGCACATATAAAAATATCAAGAAATATGTGTGCGCGCTGGTGTGCTCGAGTCCGTCCTAAAATCTCCTTGTTGTTGTGTCCACATGGTCAATGTTATACAGCAAGTCGAGTCAGTCGGCCGAGTCGAATCAGGTTTCTTTCCCCGGGGTCTGAAAATTGGACCATAATTATGAGAGGACTATACAGCCATATTGACAGGTTTACATTTTGTCAGAATATTTTGGGCTTGATTCTGATGTCTGTATAAGACTCACCCCTGTTTTAGGTCCATGTTGGTTTCTTGCATCCTTTAGGCTTGAACATCCACCAGCTCAGGAGGCATAGGAGATTTTGGGTGTTTGCTTTCAAAATGCTGTTTAAAGGTCTTGGGGTCTGGCATCTGTGTCTACACAAGGAATAACAACGTTTCTTAATAAGGTAAGAGAAGTTTGAGGTGCAGTGGTACCTCAGAGAACCAACTCAAACCAGTGACCCTTCGGCCATAACAGAAGTCACATAAATGTCTCACCTTGCAGACAGGACATGTGTGGACCAGCGCTGCTTTGGCTGCAGTCTTCTGATCCGCTCCTTGACCTTTCTTCTTCTCAGCTGCTTTCTTTGCGTTCTTCTGTTGAGACTGGATCTTCTGCTGCCCTCGAGCCATGGCCTTCTCTGAAACACATACATCAGGCATACTGACTCACTCAAGCAGACAGTCTCACTCACCTTTCATTGTATCTCTCGTTCCATAGAGTGAATGGTGACGGACTGAGGAAAGTCATAAAGGATTGAAACAACATTTAGAGGAGTAAACGATGACAGAAATTTCATTTTGGGGAGAATTATCCCTTAAAAATATGCCTAAAGCGATAACTATCTGATTTACACAAGTGGAATAAATCGGACAATCTAACGACAGGGTTTATCAGAAAATAAATCATCAGAACGATAATAAACGTTAAAAATATTATACATATTTCTAATTAATGTAAAATACACGCTCAGAAACGTATAGATCACGAGAAGTGTCTTTCCCAGGAAGAGAACCCGAAAATCGCAACATAGAGACCGCAAAGATCACACTAAATTAGCTAGTAACGTTAGCTCATCCGCCTTAATCAAAACTGATCCAAACGCAGTAGTGGCGATGTACAAAACGGCTCAGATTAAAAATAACATTATTGTTAACCATAGACGCCTTTCAAAACAACAAACATGACATTTATACGGTGAAAGGTGGCAGATTGGTCAATATTGAAAGACAAATACCTCGCGTTCAGACACGGTAGGAAGTGAAGCTCGCCTGACGCTGTTCAACAGCTTCCGTCGGAAAGACTTACATAATAAAGGTTTTCCTACTCAAACTGATAAGATGGTGATTTAAGATGGATGAGTTGATTAAGTACTTGTATTTATTTTTATTATTGTAATAACTGTATGTGTGACTGTGTTTTGAAGATGGAGTATTCCCAAACAAAAATGAGCGAGGCTCAATGTAGAAGTTGTAATACATGTGTTAGCCTCTGTGTGGCTGCAGTATTCAGTGATGGGAGAAACGGAGCCGTCGGAATCTTTAAATCAAAAATAAATAAAAAAAATGTGTTTTTATTCGTTTAATGATTGGCTCGAAACGCCACGCGCAGAGGCCATCTGCTGGTCACATGCATGTAACGCAATGAAAAGAAACAGCAACTAATGCTAGGAAATTTCTGCCGCACTTAGAAATCTACACATTATATTTACACATTTATGAACTTTCGCAGAATATGCCAATTTTAAGTTCGTGTCCATGCTAATACATTTTTAAACACAACTATTAAATATTTGTATTTTTCAGAAAGGTACGAAACGATTAATTGTCTTTGATACAGAATGAGTGGTCAGTTGTCTATTTAGTTTGTACACTTTTATTTTGACGGGTGTATTCACAAACAGTTTGCGGAAGTTGTGTTGGTGTACTTCCGTAGCAAAAGACAAAAATGGCAGAACGGGGATACAGTTTTTCTCTCACAACATTTAGGTAATTCTGTAATTTATTGATTGATAGATGGTTGTAATATTTCATTATAAATCTCTTGTTGCATGCATTCAGTGAAAATAGTTGTGTTTTGTTTTTCATGTGTGTTACACGTACTTAATTGTATGTCACATCAGAGATGCAGTGTCACGATGTTGGTTACTATGGAGCTTGACTACTTATGCTCATTTATCTCTTTTAGTGCTTTGTTTGTTATTTTTTTACTGAACTTATTTATTCCTCTGTTTACTGTATTATCCCAAGTGATTGTTCACTGTCCTGTTTTATTACATGTTTTACTACAGATTTTGTTTAATTCTCTTTTAGGCGAATATTATTTTTTTATTCATTAATATTTTGTAAAATTTAGTATGAAGCTTTCGTTCAAGCTGAGAATCACTGTTTTAAATAATACAAATCTTTGATGACATTTGAAATTATGTAAAATCCAAATTATGTATTGGTCGAAAAAATAAGTTTTACATTCAGTTTTACCCCCCCCCCCCCCCCCCCCCCCCCCCCCCCCCCCCACCCCCCCCCCCCCAACCCCC